TGATATATTCTTCTAGATGAAAATGAACACCTGAGGTAAGCGTTTTATATTATGTTGGGGGGTCATTATAATATGACGATTCTTAAGAGAACTTTTCGTAAGAAACTTGGAGTTTTGTACTGCACCTTCGAACAGGCTTCTGTTTCCATTACATGGATTTTACACCAGTGGATGTGACGAGAATTAAAGTTGGCGCAAAGGTACCGACTTTCGCCCCAAAACGGATAACGAAAGTAATTGTTTAACATGAATGGGATAATGAAAGGGTTTTGTGACAAGCATGACTCAAATAGAGAGTGCGTTTGTTCTGTAATACCGTTTAAAATGTTCAGCAAAAAGAGTAGATTTGTTCACCATTCATCACAATTGATGGTGTCTTGATTATCGGCCATTATCGCCATAATATATTGCCGCTTTGGTCCTGTTTGCATACTTTTTGTTTTCTCGCACATGGAAAGAATTCAAAGCCGTTGATAGTTATCTCAAAGTCGACATGTCATGAGATGCCTGCAGTCGCTCGTATGTGTAACGCTCTCTTTGCGTTCCGTCAAGTCCCGCCACTGCATGCAGTTCTCCAAGCTCATTTTTTCAATAAGTCGCCTTTTGGCGACCTTCATTTTTAAAATGGTCGCCAATGGAAAATTTCGGTCGCCAAAAATTGTCGTTTCATTAACGCAAGACACTTCATGCTACTTACATGAAGGAGCTACTGCTGAACGTTGTGTACGGAAATAAATCGTGTTTTTAACACTCCATTGTTACTTGCCTGCGGGTTGTAAACGTAGTACAAGATGGCAAAAACAGGCAAAGACATTTATGAGAGTTAACCAGAACAATTTACTACAAAGTCGGATGTTGAAACCCGGAACATGTATTTGCAGTGATATCATTGAAACTAATCTGATCAGATACGATTACGTGAATATACATTTGTTCGTACCGTCTACTTGCTAAGAAACATCTTTCTTTAGCTAAATCATTGGCATTGAAACCACTCACATATGTAAATTAAATCTTGAATCAACAATAACAATAACAATAACAATACTTCTGGCCTAAATAAACGTTTCTTACTTCAAAGTTGATGACAAAAATACTGTTTGTACGTGCTAAATGAAACTTGCCTGAATAACTTCCACTCATTGTTGACGTATATCAGTATCAAGTTATTCTTAGTTATCCTAATAAATATCTATATATGGTTTTCTAATCACGAAAAAGCAGTACTAACACTTGAATTTATCACGACAACGTATTCAGAGGAGAATGTAAAATATACATTTATCGCGATTCAGTGACTAACTGCATTTACCAAAACATCGATCAATGGCGCTGATGTTTCAACAAATTAGATTGCTGGTTTACGTTGGTACTTTGTCTTGAATGATAATATTATAAACAAGTAAACAGATTGGGGATTTAAAGTTTTGTACAGTGATGTAACGTTATTTGTAGGTGGCGCCCAAAGAGTTCTGTTCATGGCGTATAGAATGGTCTTCGAGGTTTTTTGGCCGAAGAAAACCATGCAGCAACAGCTGGAGCTGGATCGTAGTCAACGACAGGAGGACCCTCAGCTGAAATCCTGATCAAATATTCAGTTGTCTCGGAGGCGAGGGAGGCTCGATGGCAATTCTTGATTCGGTTCTGTGCCGAGATTGCTCTGTCACATTGAGCGGCCGAAAGGGGAAGCACAAGGAGAATTTCAACAAGGCACAACACATCCTTCCGTTCATTCCTGTACGGCTCCTTTGTCATAAGTGTGGCCCAAAGATCATTGTATCCTTTATCCATGAACTCAGAATGGACAAGAATCTTCAGGGACAGCCACTGAGGTTGAATTGCACCTGTGTTACATCCAGAGGAGACAAGTGGAACTTTGAACCAATTGATTAAACGTTCGACTTTTTCTCTGCCGAAATCAAGAAGGGCTTCCATATCTGTAGGCCAAGCATCATGGTTGAAGACAGTCAAGTCTGAGATAACCCCATTAACTGTAGCAGTTTTCTCAGACTTGTGCTGAAGCAATGGCCCAAACCTGTCTTCAAGTCCTTTCAGGCAAAGCTGTACTGCTTGCTCAATGCTTTTGGGAACCTCGTCACTGCCACTGTGATGAACTTTGGAAGCAATGTTCCGAACATTGGCCGATCCTGATTTGGTAAGTTGAATTCCCTGAAACATTGGTGGCTCACATTGCGTTTTTGCGAAACTTGCTAGAAGGGTTTCCATTCTTCCACCGGGAATTGGTCGTTTAGACAGGCTCTTACTGTTTTCAACTGTTTCCTTTAGAATAGCAAGAGCGCTTGGAAGTATTAAGTCATTTCGTTGGAAATGCAGGCTTAGTTTACCAAGAATCTGAAACATATCAGCAAGAAAATGGCAAAAAACAAGGAAGGAAACCTTTTTCATAGCGCGAGCAACATTCAGTGCTCTGCCTTTGATTTCTGCTTTAGGAGACGTTGAGTCTAAGTGCTCCATGTGCTGTAGAACAGCTGCATACTGCGATTCATCTTTTGCCAAATCTCCATCCTTCACTGGTTTAATGAACACGTCAAGGGCTCTGCTGACATGTGGTAACCACCTTGATCCTTTCACTCGAGTTGGCTGCAACACGTCAATTCCAAGCTGGCTTCCAAGGGTCTTCAAATCACGCTTGCTTTTTGGGCTGTAGTGGTATGTTTTCCACACCAAATGAAGGACGTCGTAAACTTGAGTCACCAGATGGCAATCCCGTTGCATGCTAAGAAGAGCAAGCTCCAGGCGCTGAGGAAAACAGTGGATTTCAAGCAAATGGGGAACATCCTTTTTAAGTAATGCGGAAACACCTCCTTTATGGCCCACGTTTACAGAGGCGCCATCAGCCCCAAATCCAGTCAACTTTTCCTTCCAGTTTGGTACCTCTAAATCACCGAATGCTGATTCAACTGCCTGGACAAGACGTTATTCAAATAAAGGCAGCAATTACTTAATCTATAAGCTTGGTCAAATACCATTTGAAACTTGTTTTTTGTTCCTACGTCAGCTGTTTTACTGTAGTTTGCATATAATTTGCCCGCCCCCCTTCCTGGATTGAAGTAAAGATCGATACAGACTAATTTTTACCTGTTGCATTTGCATTTTCAACAGCTTTGTGTCCAATTAGTCGAGTAACTGCTTGCCCATTCTGTACCATCTTGCAATGTATGGTCTCGTTCTCAATACCGGACACATCTGAAGCACCATCAATGAGAACAGAGATAAAGTGGGCCTCCTTCAACTTTTTGGAAACGTCGTCAGCAAGAAGTTTTCCAATGACTCCAGTCATTTCGGCACATTTTGTATCGTTTGCGTATGTAACACCAACTTCCAACCCGTTCTTTTTCTGTAGCTGCACTAACCCTTTATGTTTCGTGAAAGGAAGCTCCTCCTTTGCAACAAAATACGCTGTATTTATTTTGATCGTCATCTCTTTTTGCGCATCTTTGTCGTTCTGACTTCGCATTTTTTGGAAAACTGCACTTAATGGTCCTTCCGATGCTGGTTTCTGCTTACCAAGTACATGGTCTCGTGCGCGCGTGTGACGATGGCTCCTTCCATGAATGGATAGGGTTTCTTTCTTAAATGATGTACAGCCGGTGACAAAGTCTGTTTTGCCTGCTATTTCGGCGCCAGCCTCTTGACAAAATGTGCAATACATCGCGTTTTTTTGTGGATCAAAGTTTACCCAGGTAAATTCTTTCTTCCAATTGGCGTTGTACTTTCGCGTAACAGTATCACTATGTGTAGTGGAAGTACGGGGATGTTTTTTAACTTTTACCTCGTTTTCATCACTGATCTCAGATGAAGCCCTGGGCCTTTTGGTGCCTGGTTTCAGTATAGTGGCGCTGCCTTTAGACTTTGGGGAAAAAAAACTGGTGATTGCGATCGCTGGAGCTTTTTTCCCGCCACTAGGTGCAGTAACAGGAGCCGTGGATACACTAACATGAGCCGTGAGTGCAGTAACAGGAGCCGTAGGTACACTAACTGGAGCCGTGGGTGCAGTAACAGGAGCCGTGGATGCAGAAACAGGAGCCGTGGGTGCAGTAGCAGAGGCCGTGTTATCCTTGGGCGTACAAACATTACACACCAGTGGTACAAAATGGTTTGGCTGATATACAGCACCAGAGCGATTGTCAAGATTGCCGTCTCTTGACCACAACATGTAGATCGGCAAAACGTCAGCGGCACTGCTTACGCGAGGATGTACCAATCCATGGATCAGTGGTCTCAAAGCGGGGTTTGTGTTTGGGTAAACAGAAAAAATTGGCCGTTTTAACACTGTACTTAATGCCATCAAATGTACAAGACTGCTGCAAACCTTGTCTTTTGAGGCACTCATAGCTTCTGCTTTTACGGCTTCAACTGCATGTCTGGTCGACTGCCACTCTTTCTCGCCTGCCGACGTCACCATTAAAATAAACAGTGTTTTCTCTGAGTAGGAACACTCCGCATTTGCTTCAGAGAGCTTTTCGTGATTAGCATAGAATTCAGCGTTTAAAAATAGTTCACAAGCAGTCAGAAATCGTAAAGTTCCATTTAGCGACTCATCTCCCTTCATTAAAACTGACGCAGAATTATACAAACAATTCCCGTCCCCGGAAACTTGAAGAGCCCGTAGACCACGTGGAAGATTTTCATCATCCGGAATCAATGCTGTTCCAAGTGAATCTTCTTCATAGTTGTTGAAGGTTAGTTCCGAGATGCTTTTCTTATGGAGAATTTCCTTGTGTTCTCCCTTTAACTTGATGACTTTTTCGGTTGCTGACGGATCGCCGCTTGTGAATAGATCGCGTACTTTTTCAAATATTCTCTCGAAGTCTGTCATTCTTCATTACTATTTCCTCAGCAAGAGCAATAGAAATAAGCAAATGACAGCCAGCTACGCGCGAATGGGGATTTCACATCAGTTTATTGACAGCAGCGCTGCGCATAAAAGACTACACAGACATTTGACCTCCAGCTGTGATTCAGACAAAGAACTCCTCTTTGTCTTATCTGCATGAGAATGTGGTATGGGAAAGTCTCGGGGGAAAGTGGTGTTGCCGAAAACTTTGATGCGGCTTTTATTGATATTTTTGCAAGAAAATCACGTTTACCACTGATTTCGTCGATTTTTCGCTGATTTTTTATATCCAAAACAAATCCCGCTCATACAAAGCCTTTGAGCTGACTGCATGTAAACTTTGTCATTCACCAAGGGGTCTACCTATTTTTAGTAATTGTTCACAGCACCATCAACTGCACGTGTTGCCTAACCTGCGAGAGCATCCGGTTTTTTCGGCACTAGCTTCACAAATCACAACGCTTGTGAAACTAGAGCCGATAAAACTGAATTCTCTCGCAGGCTACGTGTAGCCAGATCAGCGTGAAAAGTGCCTGACTTAACTTTTCTCACGGGAAATTTAATATTTCTTCATGAAACACATTTACTCCAACAAAAGTATTTTTATTGATGAATATAATAAAAACAGCTTTTATTAAAAAAAAACGCAATAAACGCAACTTACAAGAGCATATGACTTGCCATCTTTTGTGCCAAAAATTTAACTGTTTCTGTCGGGGTGGCCTGGGTGTAAGTCAACCCCGCCGGAAGTAGTTTGGGCTCTCCCAGTTTCTCCCACCTGAGTTTTCAAAATGGCCGCTCAATGAATTCAAGCTGCGATACGCAGATCCTTATGCCAGAACTGTACACATGTCTTGCCATGCAAGAGGAACAGATTCATCATTGAATTTACACAGAAGAAAAGCTTGGTAATATTTCTTTGATTTAACGATGATTCAGTTAAAAAGCGATAAAACGTGAAGTCAACTTTATTCTTTTGAGCTTATATCCTTTGGTCGCCAAATGGCGACTTTGGCCGATAATTCAGTCGCCAATGTTTTTTTCATTCGCCATGGCGACCAAAATGGTCGCAGCTTGGAGCGCTGGCATGACTAAATAACTTATACTCGCTACTTTCTTCAAACAAATTTTTGGGGCGCATAAAAATTTGCCCTTTAAATCTGATCGATCGCCGAATAACGGTCAAACAAAAGGTTTCTCAAAACGTGTCAGAGTAAAACCTTTTTGGCCTTTCAAAATTTTTCTGTATAAAAGTTAATACATTTTACGTATAAATATGTCTTTAAAAAGTGATGCTTAGTGGAAAATGAAAAACAGAAACGGCGGTTTTTCCTTAGGTGACATCAAGTTTGCCTTTCTTTTTAGGGAGCGCGTGCAAATATCGGTAGGGAACCCGATCATGGGAAACGGACCCAATTAATTTTCCGATTGTTCCGAATCGGTACTGATCTGTAGGCACCAGTTGCCGTTTCCGATTACGATGAAAACTTTGCCGATTCAATCGGAGGAGGCTGTGCTTTGAATTGAGTTGCTGATAAGGAACATATTTTTTTAGTATTACCTTGTGGGCACATCTTGTACAACAGTGTTTGTTATCTGTATAGTAGTAGAAATAGAAAATAGTTTATTATTTGGTTAGCAACAGTAAAACGTGACACTTTTTGTCAGTGGTTATGTGCAAATGCATATAAATAAGAAAGTTGAGGTGGATAGAATTTTTTTCATCCATAAATGGTATGAAATAATATTATTCATTAACAACTAAATGATTGGATAATTCAATTGTAGAGTTTTGATTGGCTTAGCAATGATTCTATGTAAAGGACAAAATAATGGTACCTGTAATGAAGGTGAAAAGGAGGACTAGTGGAAAAGATGTGAGCAGGAACAGAGTGAGTTTTTTGATAAGTAGTGTAATGTGGAATTTTCAGGATATCATGTAAAACAATAATTATTGCAAACAATTGGCAGCATTAATTTAGGGAAAGTAGTTTTCCAGGCACCTGCCCAATTGGTTGGAAATTAGTGGTTTAAAATTCCCGTCCCCCTTAGAATTTCCAAGTATCTTTTGTCACAGGTGTGGTAAAAATGTGTTTTTTGGGATAAGACATTTTGTTTTAGTAATCAAGGTTGGCAGATATAGTGAACAGGATGTCTATTAATAAAGCCCCTTCATTTAATAAGGTGTTGTCTCCCTTTCAGGAAGAGGAAGTTAATAATGTGGCCTCTGTATTATATCAGTCCCCTATTTAGCTGTGTTAAATATTCGTGGCTAATAGCTAATAGACTGTATTAATGAGTTACTAGTGTAGAACATCACGTGGACTGATGTGTCATCGTTTGTTTGGGAATTGCACGGTTGGATTTAATTGTGATTCTTGCATTGCATGACATCCAATTTTTTTGTACTTGAGCATTTGCACTTTGTGTCCTAGTTTTTTGTGGACAAGTGATGTGATTGCCTTTTCAAAATGAAATAAGCCCCCCTCTCAAATAAGCCCCCCTCTCATCAAATGGGCTTGAAAGAAATAATGACCCCAAAAGAGCCTTAACAGAGATTTTATCGTATGTGATTTTACAAACTAAAGTAACGGATATGTACAATTTGAAAGAGTAAAATAATACTCTATGTGATTAACAGTATGGTAAATGTTTACTCACAACGTGCGCTGTCATATTCCCGGGTATTAATCAAGCGCTTCAGAGCTATAAGTGGAAAATGCATTTGATTAATAATAGGAAAAATTTATGGAAGGTTATTTATTGGTTTCTTTTTCATTTTGTAAGGTAATGTTGAAGATGTAATGTTGGACAACATTCTTAGGGGTAAGTATAAATAATTTTTTTTGTATATCATAATTATGTTTGCTATTCATACTGTTGTTTCTTTCATGTAGATTGAGAAATAGAAATTCTCATTGATGAAGGTGAGTGTAAAAGGAAAGAGGTTTCAAGAGTGTCAAGGATTTCTTCTCACTTTTTTTTTCTTAGCACTTTCATGTGAGATTACTCAAGAAATAACAGTTCCATTTTGCAACAAAGTTGTTGGGCAATTGTACTGAAATAGAATAACTTTATAGAAGAAAACAATCTGGATCTCTTTCTTTACCATCTATTCAAACTGGAGTGTTAGTTGAGAGGAGTTATTTTGTTCTTGTCTTCAGGATAATATTAAAGTAATGTTTCATATGGTTTAAGTAAAAAGTAGTAAATGTTGTTATTATCACATTATTCATTATTTTAGGTAGTATAGGAAAGCAGCAGACATTGTAATAATGCAATATATGTGACTGTACATATTGTTATTTTGTGCATCAAATTTTACGAAATTCATATTTACCAAGGGGTACTTTGGTTGGCTTCCGAACTGTAGAGGCACAGGAATCTGTTGGAAAATTACAAAGTAGTTATTATTAATGACTTACAGTCATATTTTTAGCTCAGTATTTTAGTTTTGTTTGTTTTATAGTTCAATAAAGACAATATAGTTCAGTAAGGACAACTCAGTTCATAAATTACACTTAAGTTCACCAACGACTGCACGAGTTCAGAAAATGTCACAACTATAAATATATCTTTATTTGTGTCGCAGATGCATAAAGGCAGGAGAAGGGGATTTGAATGGATATGCGCTTACTAATGATAATGATAATATTTAACTTAAATTATTTATTAATTTTTATTATTATTGTTAATATATATATATTTTTTTTTTGAGGGGGTCTCTCAGGAGCTCATGTGTAAACTTATAACATAAATAATAACAAGAACAACAGCTAAGCGACAAAGTACAGTTCAGTTCAGTTCACCAAGTTGTGAGGGGCTTGTTTATAACACTTCAACATCCTGCTTTTGTGATTTTAATGTACAGTTCAGTGCATCATTTTACGGGGGGCTTTTTTACAGTGCTCCGTCATCCTGCTTGCGTAGTTTTGTGGTATCTGTCCAGTAGGCACGAGGTAGCCAATAACAGGTGCAGCTTAGCAAAAACCTCTGTTGCCGCAAGACTGTAGGGTGGTTCATTGCAGTATACATTACGCACCCTTGTTATTGTTTTTGCATGAATAGAAACCAATTTTAGATTGCTTACACGGCTTGGTTTGGTTTTTTGGGGCGTTTATTATATTTTCTGATCTTAGACTGCTCGGTTACAAGGAGTTTATTTTCTGGGGGGTGGTGGACAGGGTGGCATTATTTGTTAACTTTTAAATTAAGGGGATTTAAGGGAACTGGGTAATAAGAACTTTTAATAACATTTTTTGATTTTAATTCTAATTCAGTTGCCTCAGCAAAAAGGGGGCGGAATTAGAGGGATGCATTATTTGTTAGTTTGTAACTTACGAGAATAAGGGGAAATAATTTATGTATTATGGACCTGTAATGACATTATTTACTGATTTTAATTAGGTTGCCTGTGCAAAAAAAGGGGGCAAGAGGGATGTCGAGGAAAACCAATGCTTCAAGATATAGGATTGCTGTTATAGGAAAGGGGATTTATCGACCAAGATTCGAGTGATAGATAAAGAGATGAGCGATTGATTAAAGACAGGGGTAACAGAGGAAGTGGAGCACGACAGCGATGGGGCACATACCTTGCAATAAGAAGATAACTTTTCCTTCACAAGAGATCACACGGATTTCTTATTTACTACAGCAAAAAATATACACTTGGGCTTTGTATTTTTTTGAAAAATATATGTTGGTCTTACAAGATGTGCAAAATTTCTCTTAGACATAAAATATATGAATCATTACACAGAAAAAAAAATTTTTTTTTGTTTTTTATGGTTGTAGTGAAATAAAGACAAATAATTATGCAATAAATCAACTTACACCTGACGGTCTAAAAAACTTCTTTAATGTCCAGCGAAAATAATTCTTCATTTTGTCATTTCTGAAAGTACGTGGTTTGCCAAACGGTCAAGCTGCCCGGCCATAAATTGGAGCTGGGCAGCCAACCGTTTGGCTTCCATTGTCTTTAA